CCCTCCCCTGTCACGGCAGAGAGCCGTGACAGGATCGAGAGGTGAGCGAACGCCGGTATGTGTTCGCTCACCTCCCGATCTACTGAGCCGACCTGTGACAGTCTCATTGTCACAGGTCGGCTAGAACTATGAGGTGAGTGAACAGCACTCGCCTCATAGTTCTCCTTTTTAAAGCGCTCTGTAAAATGATGGCGCTATATAAATGCCTGTAACAAATAAATAATAGAGGGAATATTTACCTTTCCTGCTCCCTACACGTCACTCTGTTCAGTAGAAATTAAGTCCACAGGGAAACTAACACACTCAATCTCCTGGCCCACTACAGCTCTTAATCGACCTCCATGTCACTACTGCCTCCTGTAATGCAGGAGGTGATCATAGCCGTAGTAGTACGCTGTTGCAACAACACAGTTGAGTACCATCCGTGATACTTTTTATATTTTTTAGGTATTTATATAGCACTGACAATTTACGCAGTGCTTTACAAACTGTACATTCACATCAGTCCCTGCCCTCTAGGAGCCTACTACCTAAGGTCCCCTATCGCGCACACACACACACACATACACACACACACCTTATTTAGACAAGAGCTAAATAACCTTCCAGCATGTTTTTGGAAGCAAACCACAGCTCCCGGATAAAACCCACACAAGAACATGCAAGCTCCATACAGGGAGTGTCCTGGCCAGTGCAATCAGAAGTGCTAATCACTAAGCTGATAGTTCAATGTTCAGGACAAGCTTCCAGTGCCTCCCCCTTCTTCTAAGGTCCAAACATTACGGACTAAAGCTTTGAGCCGTACTGTATCAGTATCGGGACCTTAGAAGAAGGGAGTCGGCCTTGAAAGTTTGTCTTGAAAATTTAAGTGTTGGTGCAAAAAAAAAATTTGACATGTTTCCCTCCCAATTTTGGAGTAGAACTTCTACTAAATGGAGTGGCGCAGTGGTGGCACATGCAGCGGGTAAGGTAAGTTTTTGCAGATAGGCCTAGTGTGAAAAATGTTATGACATGACAAGGTCGCTTTAAATGTAATTGAAATGCTGCTGCTATTACCTAAAACCCATATTTATATTGTCTTTAAATAATCAAGTGTGACATAAGAAAACTGCACAGTCTCTTTTTAGACTGATCATCCCTGAAAAGTTATTTTAGATACAGACATTTAGATGATTATTCACAAAGCTGCCGTAGGCAGCCAAGTGAGCACCCAAAGTGAAGTGAGCCAAATGCTGTTCGGCTATTCACTTCAGGCTTGTAGGGCTGATTTTCAGCCGTACATCGGCTTGCTTCGGTTCTGCCGACCAGAAGTGCAGAAGGAGTTTGACTCTGGATCGGCTGATCCGAACCTCCAGCAGGCTTCTTGCTGCCGTTCGGCCTATTCTCATAGGGGCCGAACGGCAGTGAGTGAATAGCCGAATGCCACCGAGCGGCATTTGGCTCGGCTATTCTCATTACCGCCGTGGTACCGAGCAGAATAGTGAAAAAAGTAGAAGAAAAAAGGTTCAATAAATGATTAATCTTAAAAAAAATATTTTTTTAAAAAAGATCACTAAAAAAAGTAAAGATTAATGGAAAAAGAAATAAAAATAATTTTAAAAAAACAACAACAATTGGGCAGAGCTAGCAGTGGCAGCTTGCTCCGCCCAACTGTTTGCTATTGGCCGGGGCCCGCCAGAAGCGTGCAGGGGAAAAAAGGCCAATGAATAACAACTTGGCAGAGCCTGCCGTGATCTCACGGCTGGCTCCGTCCAGTTGCAAAGACAGCTCTGTCATTGCAACTGGGCGGAGCCAGCCATGAAATCACAGACAGCTCCGCCAAGTTGTCATTGTTTAATGACAACTTGGGAAAGCTGAACTGTCATTGCAACTGGCCGGAGCCAGCCGTGAAATCACGGCTGGCTCCGCCCAGCTGTCATTTGCGAGGCCTTCGGCTGGCCGATCGGCCCGCTTTGGGTTTCACTTCGGCCCAGTCGAGCCAAAGTATATGCCTTTGACTTGGCTGAGCCACTCGCCCATCTTCAGGAGCGGTACGGGCTATAGTGAATAGCCCGTACAGCAGCCCTTCGGTTCTACTGAACCAAAGGGCCCCGGCGGCCGAAGCTAGCCGAAGGATCAGCCGGAGCTACGGCCGATCCTTCGGCTTGCTTTGTGAATAACCCTCTTAGTGTGCTGAATATATGGAAGGTGATACAAGAAGCTGCAAACTTTGAACAGTAAGCACACCATAAGCATGTATTCCTTATTTTTACTTAAACCTATTTCCTGATCAAAAATAGTACATGGGCAATTGCAGTTCCTTTACAGCATCTCTTCCTGCAGAGATGGACTGTTCATTTATCACAACAGACAATCCATTTCCTGCCTTCCCCTTAGCGCCCTCTAGTGGGTGGCCAGTAGCAACTGTTGCACAAAGACAAGATGTAAATACAAACATCAAGTCAAATGTAATATCAGGAAAATAACTCAATTTAGCCGCTAGATGGAGCTAAGGAGCATAGGGAAAAAGTATTTTCTATACTCCTCAGCACCATCTAGTTGCCATAATGTGGTATTTTCCTGATAGTATG